GCTAATATTATCATCACAAAGATATAAATTTCAAACTGACACATTATTCAAGCCTTTTAAATCTATTATGATTACTGATGATAGAGTTAGCCCCACAGAGAAATATTTCCCTAATGGAAAAAAAGAAAGGAATTTAAAGCTGCTCCTTCCTTAAATTCCCTGTTCTCTCTCTGCTACCACCTACCACTGATGCGAGATGAGGAGCCCATCCTCTTTTAACCCACAGTACATCTCCGTTACAGCGCCAGACCAGGAAGTTTTTGTTGGTGGTGCCCTGTCTTCCCCACCAAGGCTGCTGTGAACTCCTTGAAGTCAGGGATTATGTCTTGTGCATCTCAGCACCTGCAGGGCATCTGTTCCCACACGTAATAGATGCTCAGTAAAGGTGTGTTAAACTAACAAATGTGGTATTGTAGGAAAAGTATATTTGTGTACGTATGTGTATGAAAAACACGATCCTGTTCAGGGTTTATATTTTGTGGATTTCAGTGACCTTGATATCAGACCTTTCAGGAAGGTAGGCAGCTAAGGCACCTCAGCTGGGACCAAGAAAGAAAAAAGGGATCGGTCAAGAAATACTTAGACACCTATGGAGCGTTCCGTGAGGATGAGGCAACGAACTGAGCTCTAGGGTTATAAAGACTACATCTCTGTCTGCAAAGAGCTCACAGTCCCCTTAGGCACCAGGCAGGTGAGGATCTCGTCCCTACCAGTGAGCAGAGATGATAATGTTAGATCAGGACAGCTGACTCCCAGGGTTCTCCTACATTGCAGTGCTCTTTCCACTGGAGCAATGCCTTTCCAGTCTTGGCAGGGCTCATAGAAAAAAATACATTCTGCAGCATTAACCAGTACAGAGACACACATTTCTGATTTTTCCTATTTAATTCTATTCTATTTCACATTTTAAAAATGTTCATCCTGACACATTAAATCCTGACTCAAAGGTTAAAAAAAAAACTGCTCTAGAAGATAGATTTTTAAAACTCTCTCTAGATCAAGGCAGATATAATTCCTAATAGTTTTTCTCACACAATGAATTTGTATCCCAGCAAAAAAAATAAAACACTATCAAATAATCAAATAACCCAAAAAGACTAACATAGAGCCATGACAGCTGTCACTCGGGGAGTGGGAGGAAGCTAACCCTAATCTCCATCAGCTTTCCCTAAAACCACCCAGGTAAACACTCAATCTAATGGAAACAGCGTTTGCTAAGCAAAAGCAGCCTGGTGGCAAGTCCCCTAGCAGCCCAGCTCCCTTCCAGCCAGCCTGTGGCCCAAAGGACTCTCATCCTATACAGAAATTCCATAGCATCCACTTACGATGAATTTTTTTAAACAATTTTGTGCAAGAGATTTTAACTAAACATGTTTGTATGGGGAACAATGAATTTATTAACATAAGTGAATGAAGATCAAAATAAACTATTTTAAATAAACACATTTTATTAAAAAAAAAATCTGTCTGAAATTTGCCAATCTTCACTTAATCTGGGGAGGAGAGGGGGAATGTACTGATTTATCCCAGATCCGAACAAAGCATGCAGAGCTGGATCATTAGTTAAGCTAGTATCTCTTTTGGTTTGCCCTTGAAATACTAGGCCAAAGGCAGTACACAACTTTTCCTCCACACAAGGTGTGTGTATAGCACTTCCCACTAAAGGAAATGTGGTAACAACAATCATTACTGCCTAGTAGCAAGCTAGAGATGAACAAATCCCAATGTCCTCAGAGTTCATTCAAGAAATGTGTTCCCTGACAAGACATAAAGTCAGAAACAGGGAGAAAGACCAGAAAATTCCTTTCCATCTTCTGTCCATAGGCAGTACTTCAGCTCTGAGAACGCAAATTAGGTACAAGAATGTTCACTCAAGTTCTTGGGCTTACTTGCCTTACCATTCCCCATCCAAGGAGCATGTCTGAGTTTAAAGGACTCGTTTTTGTGACATTTGTCTCAAATTAAGACAATTTTATAAATCTTTAATAAATCTTCCTGTGTTCTCCAAAAGAAATCTGTTTAGAACTATGTTTCGAAAAATATTCTTTTTATAAAGATAGAATGCATTTCTCCTAAGAAAAAGGAGAAAGCCATACTTACTATAAATCAGCTCTAACAGAACTTTCTGTGATGATGGAAGTGTTCTCTATCGGCACTATCCAATACAGTAGCCACTAGCCACCTGGTACACAGCACTTGATGGTACAACCACCTAGCACTTGGTGGCTGGCATTAACTGAGAAACTGAATTTTAAATTTTATTTCATTTTAATTAGTTTAAATTTAAATAGCCACATATAGCTAGCAGCTACCATATGGGGCAGTGTAGGTTAGATAACCAACGTAAGTCCTCAGCAGCAGAGCTGAATAACTGACTCGTCTCACGCTGAAAGTCACAATTTGGAAAAATTCTATTTCACACCAATATTCAATTTGTAGCTTTCTAATTAATACTTCATTAACATTTACGGTTTCTTCAGAAGTGCGTTTTCAGCAAAGTTTAGCAATTTTTATTCCAAAACATTAACATACTAGATCTGTTGAGCAGAATTCCTTTGGCAACATTCAATTTTTCATCTGTGAAACTGAAGTGCAGGGAAAGGAAAAAAAAATCAAGCCCACCCTCCTCTGGATACAAAGGAAGGAATGAAATACATAATCCATACAAGGCTCAGATAACCTCCTAGACTCTTATGGGTACATCGGCTCCTCAAGTTCTACTTATGTTTGCTTCTTTAGACCCAACTGTAGCTTTCAACAAAAGTCATTCCTACATTTGCTTGACCTCTTGACTGTGTTCTGTTACCATCACACCATGACCAGACCCTCTAAAAGTATTCTACCTATAGGAAAACCATTTAAAATATACACACTAAAATATTCTATATTTAAATGAGACAACCTGATCAAATGGTCAAAATGCTGTAGCCCGAAGAAGAACAGATGCTTCAGAGACACTAAAATATGCAGATCATGCCAAGACCACTTTTCAAGCAGGTGGCAAAAGAAACTGCGCAGTTCTACAGTCAGCAAGGAAGAGACAAGAAAATACGCTTAAAAATCCATTGCAGCCACGCTATGGCCATAGGATAACTAACTTTAACTTCAAGCAGCACCACTGAGCTCCTTACAATCTCAAGGTCAACGCCAAATCAATTTTTTTCAGCTTCTCATCATGCTAACATTTACACACAAATATACCACACACACAAGCACAAACGTTTCAATAATTTCACTGTTTAAATAGAACAAACTTCTAGAACTTGTATGTCAAAATACTATGAGTTCGAGGCCACTACGGTGGTGTAGCAGTTAAGTTCGTGTGCTCTGCTTTGTGGCTCAGGGTTCGCAGGTTCAGATCCTGGGTGCAGACCTATGCAGTGCTCATCAAGCCATGCTGTGGCAGCATCTCATATACAAAATAGAGGAAGATTGCCACCAATGTTAGCTCAGGGCTCATCTTCCCCAGCAAAAAGAGGAAGACTGGCAGCAGATGTTGGCTCAGGGCCAATCTTCCTCACGACCGGGACCCCCCCCCCCCCAAAATACCATGAGTTCATTAAAAACAAGCAAACTTAAGTACACTGTACAAAGACTAAAGTCATTGGTACCACATAGCACATTTGGAGAAGCTCAAACTATACAGACCAAAGCAATTCTAAGACAGCAGTGCAATTCAGGTAAGAATTCAGCACCATAGACCAGAACTTCATTTTTTCTCTACCACTACCACTACCACCACCAGGTCCTAAAAAGGAACTAGATGCTCACCTACTGTAGCCAAAGAGCAGTGGGATCTCAACAAGACACATGACAAGGAAGCAATGCATACACTAACCCAGGGGCTTTGGGCCTTGCAGAATAACAAATAGCATTGCCAGGAGAAAAGGCTTCAGCTGCAGCAACTCAGAGCACTCTGACCTAGCAAGAGGCTGTCGGATCCATAAAAACTGTGTGCTGTCAGTCCTTTTCTTGTGTATATGGATAAAATCTGCAGATGCAGCCCGGGCAGGAAAGAGGGAGATAGAGGATTTAAAATCGGGTACTCCCGTGCTGTTTGACCCCAAGAGTACCCTCCCCACTCTTCCAAGCTATGACCCACAGACTCCACTGATCGCAGCATCTGCAGCACGATCTCTATCAATTATGAAATTCTATGATAGAAGCGCTAGAAACCTCAATGCTTTTTTCATTATCTTAATTCTTAGGGGGGGAAAAGTCAAATAAATATAATAAACAATACAGAATGTCCACAGCAGAGGCACAAGTTCTCAAAGCACTTAAGGTTTACAAACTGAAAATAAACACTATTCTTCATATAGTTCTTTAAAAGTCCACTTCAGAATAGTATTACTCCTGCTTCCCAAAATGCAATTTAAAGGCAGAAATAAAAATCTTAAGAACACTCAGATGATAAATTAGCTTAACACGGATGAAACATTTTTTTGTATTTAATATTCTAAGACATTTATGAAATAAAATATAGATTCTAGTAAACAAAAGAAACACACGTAAGAGAAAACAAAGTCATTTTTTGCTTGGCTTAAAATGTACACAGTACAATACTACATTAAATGAAAAAACTTATTAAACTATCTTAGCACAAATATGGCTCAATCCTTTTTCTAAATCCCCAATGTTGATGGGCTAAATACCTTACCTCTTCCTTTTATAAGCCCTGAAGTCCTATATAACCCACTCCTATTCCTCTAGGAGAGCTTCTGCAGTTTTAATAAACAAATGTCAATCACATTAAAAACATTTAAGAAATTTACCAATATGTAATTATGAAATTATACTTCTGAAAATATCATCCTTCCTAAATTACGATTCTGGAAAAAAAAACTCAATAGAGTTGTTTCCTATTTATTTTTTCAATAGTCAAAGCATAAAAGCATCTTCAACCCAAAGTGTCATGTATATTTAATTATGGCTCCTGACTTAAGCATAACATTACAAATCTGTTCATATACATTAAACAAAAGTGCTCTCACTCTTACCTGTATATCCCGCATACCATCCCCAAGAAGCCACCATTCCTAAAAGCCATTTATACATGATTCCTTCAATGTACCAGAACCGCTTACTGTCCAGCACTCGAAGGGGCTGAAGCATAATTACATAGCAGATGTAGGATGGAATAGCAACCAGGTTGTTGGCGACCATGAAGGCAAATCTCATCAGGGCTTTCACCAAGATCCAGCCCAGCCACGGAGCTTCTTCCAAAGTCACAGCCATTCTCACATTGGAGTCCGTCCTGTCTTTCTGAGGTGAAAGAAAATGTCATTTAAAAAGGAAAATGGCTTAAACGCATCTAAATAGTCATCAACACAGAAATCATCTTCAGCACAAAAATAAAAGAAAAATCGAGGGTCTAAGCCTTCCCGGTGGAGTACCTCGGTGATCTTTCCGGGAAATTCCAGCGGGAGACAGACAGCGAGGGAGGAGGAGCCGCACAAGGTCAAGGGAGCTGTTCACGGTGGCACAGGGTATGTCACAATATATGTAGCAAATGATAATACTATTCCCACTAACTAATAGGTGGCTGTCCCTGCACCGCTCTCACTGCAGTCTTCCGTTTGGACTTTAAGGGAGAAAAAAAGACCCGCTGGCTGCCGACACCCTCAGTATCTCCAAACTGACGACACGAGTGGAGAGAAGACTGAAACATGGACCTCTCGATCAGATTTCCCAGGTGCTGAGAACCTCGGTACCCTCGCCACCCCCATCCCTGCACATTGATTCATTCCTTCAAAAGGTCTCTCAGAGGAGCCAAAAGAGTTACGCGAAAAATGTTCACTTGCGGCAAAAGGGTTTCCGTTTTCCTTTTTTTAACAGAAAAAAGGAGAGGGGCCTAAAAATGAGGGCAAAAAGGTGAGAGGAAGAATGTGGGGGATAATGAGGCGAAAAGGAGGAAGGACAGGAGCAGGGGGAGGGAGCAAAAGCGAGGAGGAGGGAAGCGGGAGGGCAGGGATAAAGGGAATAAAGTCTCGGACCGGAGGCCAGGGAAGCGGGGGTGATGAAGGAGGCGGGGAGGAAGAGGCGACAGCGCTCGGGGGTCGGGCGGAGCCCGCAGCGGTTTCCGCCGATGTGGAAGGGGCCGGGGCGGCGGGCTCGGCCGGCGCCGGGCTCACCTCGGCGGGCGCGGGCGTGGGCGCGGGCGGCGGAGCGCGAGGGAGAGCGGGGCCGGCGGCCCGGGCGCGGTGCTGCGCAGCGGCGGCGGCGGCGGCGGGTGGGCCCGGCCGAGGGGTCGCGGTCATGGACGCGGCGGCGGCCGAGGCGCGGCGCGAGCGGGCGCGCGGGCGCCCTACTCCCCTCGCGGCTGCCTGCGGACAGAGGAACGGCAGGGACTCAAAGGCCGGACCTGTCACCGGGGCGGGTCCCGGGGAGGCGGGCGGATGCCCCGCGCCCCCGCCTCCTCCTCGGGCCTACCGCGCCCTCGTCCCTCATGCTGCCACCGCTGCCTGCTCCCTGGGCCGCGCGACGACGACACCCCTTCCCCGCCCCCCGGCGCCTCCCCGGCCGGCCCGGCCCGCCGCAGCCCCGGGGCCTGCGCCCGCCGAGCCGGGGCTTACCTCGGGCTGGCCGGGCCCCGGCCCGGGCTGCGGGAGCCGGAGGAGCCAGAAGAATGCATGGCCGGCAGCGGGGCCGGCGGAAGGAGGCGACGGCTGGGCCCGGCCCCGCTCCGGCTGCAGCGCGGCCCGCGCCCGGTCCCCGGCGGTGCCGAGCCTCGGTCCCCAGGGCCCGGCCGCCTTCGCCCCGGCCGGCGGGAGGAAGCGGCGGGAGTCGGGGCTGCGGCAGAGCCGCCCCCACAGCGCCCTCTAATGAAGGCGCAGCCGCCGCCGCCCGCGCCCCGGGTCCCGCTCGGCCGCGTGTCAGGGCCCCTGGGGCTGCCTGGTCCCTAGGCCGGGACCGCTCTGCGCCCAGGCCCGAGGAAAAGGCTGCTCAGAAAGGTCTAGTGCCTGAGCACCAATCCTTACGCCACACGAGGAGAGCTTTGGTCCCAACTCAGAGCCCCTTTTCAGCCCAGATAGCCGTTTTTCATTGTTAGGGCTCTCTCTCGTCTGTCACACCGATCACTGCCCAAACTGGAAGCGGTCTTCCTGCGGACTGAACGTCCTCTTTACTGTCATAGTGAAACCCAGTTGCTCTCATGGCTTTTTTTCTGAATCTCTCCAGAGCATTAAGGTCTAGAGTGTAAACTCAACTCATTTTAAGTGCCAGAATTCTTGTTTCTGGAAAGCACCTGGAACATTCATGACCATTCCAATTCCCCATCTATGCTCCCACTCCTACCCCCGTAAAAAAAAAAAAGGAATCCAGTGGGAATGAGTGGTCTACACGGAGACATTGAAATTTAATCAAGGAGGGAAAAGCACTTAGGCAGAGCCTGCTTTAAATGCTCAGAAAGCGGTGGCCACAGATACCCCTGGACAGACCTGGTCATTCCTGGGACGCTGTAGCTGCGCTCAGTTTCAAACACTGGACCACCTTTGAAATAGAGAAATAGCCCGCGTGAACATTCTCAAATGGCCTGCCTAAATGTCAGTTTAAAAAATAAACTTATAAAATCTCGTTATATCCCTTAATGACATTTGTAAATGGCAGCGGGGGGCACTTTTTACACGTCCCTAGTGAATTGCCCTAAGTCAGAATGCCACCTATTCTGCCTACTTTGAAAATGTTTGTCACTGCGTTTGCTTTGGACTCTCTACTGTTTCTCTCTCTCTAACTTCAGTTCCTCTTTGGTCCACAGGTAAAGGAAAGAAAATTCATCTTATGCCTTATGAAAAATACTTTCTATTCCAATTCCTTTTGGTGATGAGGGAATACATGAAAGCACAGAACCTGGCTGAAATAATTTATTAGATTCCTTTCCATTTATTACTAATATGTTTTTATTTATATATTTGTATACATATATTTACTTATCTATTTCACTAATATTATATTTTAACTGCACAGGGCATAAAAAGGCACAGGCCCTGTCAGGAAACTTTCCCCACAAGTTCAACCTATGTATAGCAATAGAAAAGTTAGATATGCCCTTTCTGTTGCTTGTATTCCATCTGAGAATTTAGGTGCCGAGGTAATAGCATCCTTAAATAAATCTCAGGAGAGAAATAATATATGTACCGTAGATTATTGTTCAAAGTATGTCAGTATATTCTTAAGTGAGTAAGACAGGTGAGGCACATATTTCTTCTGAGAGTCAAGAGGACTCCTCTGAAGATTCCATTCAGTCCATCCCATTTAGCATTCCCTGCATGCTGGTAAACGCTGGCTGACATGTGGAGAGAGAGAACCTACAACAGGATTTATACCTGGTTCCTGGATCCCAGAGCATCTGCCAGAGTGCCAGACACACCAGCACTTGCTGAGATGAAATCAGTACCAGCCAGCCAGGCCCAGAGGAGAACCAGAGGTTGGGCAGGACCTTGCACAGTGGGTCTCAAACTTTAGTATACAAAAGCATCACTTGGGGTGTCTATTGAAAAGATAGATTCTTGGGCCTCACACCAGAAAATTTTAATACACTAGGTCCAGAGGGGTCTGGGAACCTGCTTTTTAAAAAGTTTCATAGATGGTCCTGATGCAGGTAGTATTCAGACCTTGGTTTAAGAAATCCTGACCTAGAGGTATCCTGAGATAATCACTTCCTTTTCTAGACCCTTCATAACTTCAAGTCATTGATCGTGTCTGTTCTTATCTGTGTTAGGTTGCTAGGGCTGCCGTGACAGAGTACCATAGACTGGGTGGCTTGAACAATAGAAATTTATTTTCTCACAGTTCTGGAGGCTAGAAGTCTAAGACCAAGGTGCCTACAGGGTTGGTTTCTTTTGAGGCCTCTCTTCTTGTTTTGTAAATGGCTGCCTTCTCCCTGTGTCTTCACACGTCATCTCTCTGTGCCTGCATGTGTCTGATGTCTGTCTCTTTTGTCTCCCGATCTCTTCTTATAAGGACATCAGTCACATTGGATTAGACCCCACCCTAAAGACCCCATTTTAACTTAATTACCTCTTTAAAGCCCCTATCACCAAATGCAGTCACATTCTGAGGTACCAAGGGTTAGGGGTTCAATATATGAATTTTAGGGGGACACAATTCAGCCATCACATCATCCTTCTACTGTTTACACTGCAGAATTCTGCCATTTCAGTAGCTCCTCTGGAAGGGATGTGGAGGCCCTAATTGTGGTTATTTCAGCTGTTATCCTGACTGGCTCCAGGCTCATTAGACTCTTCTTGAAGCTGAGCAAACAGAGCAATACATCGTGTGCCACATGTACATATGCCCTGTTTTGGGGTGGTGTTGTGTTTTTTTTTTGTCCTTGGTGAATGAGGGGGCTTATCTTGTTAACTTTCTTATTCACAGCAGCACATTCAGTTTCAAGATAATTCCATCCCTACAATGGATAAGAAACTACCTTTGGACTGACTTCTTTAAGGAAAATTTCAGATGATGTTTATTTCTTATATTTCAGAGTTCATTTTACATACATATTTGTATTCATTCACCTTGCATATAATACCTTCCTCTTGCCTATACTTTTTTTTGCCCTGCCGCCTTTCAACCCACTTGGGCAGCCTCCTGAGGTTTCTCTGTAGCTTATTTCCATAACACCACAGGCAGAAGGGTGTATCAGTGTTTTAAATGACTGTAACAGGAAGGTTGGGAAGGCCAGTTCTTCAGGGTAAACAGATCTGTTGAAAGTAAGGACTTTCTTCAATGACTAATTAGCTGCCAGCCACCTATCCTGCTACCTTAGAGCCGTGTTCATCAAAATACAAACATTAATTAAGTCAAGAATTTCAGAGCCATCATAGACACCCCAATAAGGGAAAAGGGAAAACAAACAGACCCCACCCTATAGCCATAGGAGTTACAGTTTCAGTTTCAAAGGCCCACATTTGAACCACAAGAGGGTGGTCCTTTGAAAGAGAAATATGACTTCTCACATTTCCAAGTGTCTCCAGACATCTTAAAACAATCTAACCACAACACCTTAGAAGGTTTAATTCCACCCATCTGGTCCACATGCACACAACAAATTAGGTTATAACCAGAGAGGAGCTCCTCTGGGCAGAAGAATCCCCCTGAGCCCTCTCTTTTTCCTAGTGGCAACTATGAAAACATTTCACCTATCTGTGCCGATTTCTGCACAAAAGCGCCAATGACCTGTTTCCTTTCAAGGGGGAACACCACCAGCAGTGTTGTAAGTGTGCAATGACTTGGCACAGGCCCACCACATCACTGGAAACAGTTGCAACCCAGAAATTAGGCAATCTTGTCCTTGTGCAAACATCATAGAGTACTTACTCAAACCAAGATGGTATAGCTTACTACACACCTAAGCTATATGGTACTAATCTTATGGGACCACCATCCCCTATGTGGTTTGTCATTGACTGAAACATCGTTGTATGGTGCATGACTTTATATAAAATGTATTAGGGCTTGTGACCTTAAAAATTTTTAGACAAGGTGACTCAAATCATCAGGACTTGACTGCAGCGTTATTTAAGCCATTTCAGCAAACTTTTGTTGACAAAGTTGACCCTAAACAGTATTGTGAAGTTGACAATTCTCTCT